TTCTACTCCCGTAAAGATTTACACCCTCGGAAACCCTGTACAGGGTCGCTATGGGTCGGAACCGACTCGATGGCACTTAACAACAACAACAATTTTGCTTATTATCAGAGATGTTTTGAACTTCTTATAAAAGGAATTGTGCAGTGATGAGATTTGTGCATGTTTGACATGTTTTTATTGTTGTGTTTGAATATACCACAGTTTGCTTATCCATCTATTCACCTGAGGATGGACATTCAAGTTGTTTCCAATTTGGATCTATTAAAAATAACACTATTGCGAATATTCCTGTGTATGTCTTTGGTGGACATGTGCACACTCAGTTTTCATACGTAAGAGTAGAATTGATGAATCAGAATGATGTACCAACCCCCTCTCTTAGCTCTTCCTTATATACCCAGTGTTCCTACTTTGAGTTTCATAAAAGTGAGTTTTTAGTTACGTTCTTGCTTAAATATAGACCACCCCCTTCAGCTGCAGAAACTAAGTCTGAGGAAAAAGAAATATATATTCAACAGCATGGACTGAGCCTGTCTTCTCTTTATTGTGATTGTTTCAAAATAATTTGTAGTGACATTCACTCCTTAAATACTTTAGATTAGTTGTTAATGAGTTCAGCTGGTTTGAAAAAGTTCAGATGTTATGACACATTTAACAAATTTTCTTACCTGTCTTGCACTGTTCCATCACAATTTTTTTTAACTTTTTATTGTGAATTAGGTGAAGGTTTACATCTCAATGGTTGGTTATTTTAATGTCTTTAAAGTACATTATCTCAAATAATTCAAAGTGTTACAATACACGTTGTGTGCCTTCAAGTCAATTCTGACTCATAGTGTTTCTATAGGATAGAGTACAACTGCCCCATAGTTCTCAATGTGGCAGACTGCCACATTGTCTCCATCGGAGAGACTAGTGGGTTAGAACCACGACCCTTTTGGTAAGCCACCAAGCGCTTAACCACTGTGCAACCAAGGTTTCTTACAAAATACTTAGCAACTGCATTTGAAATTGTGGAGTCCTGGTGTAGCGCTGTGGGATGATGCAATGGACAACAAGGTTGCTTTGAACCACAAGGTCAGTGGTTCAAATTCACCAGCCGCTCCTGGGAAATCCTATACAGGGTCGCTAGGAGTAGGAACCAGCTTGACAGCACTTAGCAGCAACAACACATTTAAAATAGGAAGATTTTGAAAATGATCCTTTAGTACCTATATAGTTCAAATACTTTTCAAAGCAGCTTTGGTTTGCTGGGTTTGTTTTTAGTTTTATTTTTTTTTTGCTTGCTCCCTCAACTTTTCTGTTTAGGTTCATTTTGCTATTGAGTTGTATTAATGAAAATAATTTTATATTCATTTTCTCACTGATTTTCATTTCAGATGATACCATCTTTCAAAATTCTATGGTACAAGAAGCTACACAAATGGGATTCAGTTTCAAGGACATTAAGAAAATAATGGAGGAAAAAATTCAGACATCTGGGAGCAACTATAAATCACTTGATGTTTTGGTTGCAGATCTAGTGAGTGCTCAGAAAGACAGTACACAAGATGAAACAAGTCAGACTTCATTGCAGAAAGGTATGCTTGGCTCTTTTTTAAAAGTCAAGTAAAACATAATCATAACTCATTATGGGTAGTATCTTACATGGCTTTGTGGCCTTTTTGTTCCCTCCTTTTACCTCCCCTTTAGGATAAACAATTTTTTTTAAACTTATTGTTATGAGACACTTCAAACATACACAAAAGTAGAGAGAACAGTATAATGAGCCCTCATATACCCATCACCCAGTTTCAATTATTAACACTCATCCAGTCTTGTTTCATTATTTCCCCCATTTGTGCTATAGTATTTTAAAGTTAATGCTAGATGTCACAGATAATCATTTACCTATATATATTTCTATGTATAAGAGAGAAGGACTTTTGTTCACATGATCATAATATTGTTATAGCACTTAACAAAATTAACAGTCATTCCTTAACATCATCTGAAACCCAGTTGGTCATAGATTTCCCCAAATTGCCTTAAATATTTTTAAGGTTGATTTGTTCTAATACTGTGTTCCGAGTATAATCCATGGGTCCACTCACTTTTTTTTTTTTTTTTTTAAGTTTTTATTGTGAATTGTGTGATAGTTTACATGGGAGAGCATCAGCTTTACATTCATCCTATCGTATTTCATTTCATTGTAATGATTACAATCCCCTTGATGCATCATCATTCAACAACCTTTGCTTCCAAACCAGAGGGTTTTTTTTTTTGTTTTTTTTTTGTGTACACCAAAGCACTCAGGAATATATAACCAAAGGGTATATCCTGCACGCCAGCTCCCTGGCCGCCAGCACACAGCCCCTCTCCCTCCTTGAGTCTAGAGTCCCCAGCCACTCTGTCTTTCCACGTCATCATCTCTGCCTCTTGGTGTCACTGCTTCTCTGGATAGGGTCCTGCACTCCACTCTTCTCCCTTGATGGTCCCAGGGTCCTCTGCTCCTAGACTGCAAGATCAACCTCTCCCCTCCTTTTGTTACAGAACGTCTATCTTTATATTTGCAACATTCACAATCAGTTCTGATAGCAGTTACTTACTATTGAACCACAAGAACCTTATCTCCCTCTCCTTTTACCATTACCATCTAGACAGGTTGGAAACCACTCAGTGGAGATTCTGCCTTCCCTCGTACTCTCTGAAACTAGGCTCCCTCTTGAAAGTTTGTAAGCCAATCATTTCATGCCTTTGTAGCTGCCCTCCCCCCCATTTTGGGTAGCCAATGTCTAGGTTGCCCATCCCGGTCAAACCTGTGGGAATGATCCTTGCTGTAAAGATTCGTTCTCTCTTTTAAGCAACTACATCCATAAGTATAGGTCAAGTTCATCAAATTGTAGCAGATTATATTTTTTTTCCTCCTTTCTTCCTCTAGTCTAGTTCTGATTATCTACCCATTGAAGCTAGGTCAGATGGGTACTATCTGCAATCATAGGTGTTCTTGTGCATCTCCCATCACTTCATATCAGCTGAACACTTCACTCTCCGCTCTAGTCCTCTGTGACTATTTCCCTGTCCATGGGCTCAGGAGTCCCCAGGTCTCGCTATACTGCTAGCCAACCACGTCTCAATCCAGGTTGACAGGAGTCTATTGAATGTGGTTGGACTTAGCTCACAGCTTCATTGCTGTTTTTCCACCACTTCCCCTTATCGGTAGACCAGCATGGTTGCCAGCAAGATTACATGCCTGCTTGTGTTATTCCCTTTGAGTTTCAGTCTTGGGAGGGGGTTTGCCTTGAGGGGACTTGATTTCTTGCCTTCATGGCTCCCAGTTGAACAACTTGCTTGTTCTTGTAGTAGTCAATCTGGACTGCCGTTATTGTTTTTTTATTTTTCATGCTGGTCTTTCTTTCAAAAAGTATCTTCTGTTCCTCTAGCTGCTCCAGGCTGGTCTGCTTGTCCTTTCAAGTGGAAATTTCCCACCTCAGAAGATTCTGGATGGGGATCAGGATTCCACCTAGGGCCTTATGCAATGCAAAGGCTCCGCAGGAATCCTCTTTCATTGGGCAAGTTCTAGCCTCATTTTAGGTATTCCAATCAGTTATAGGCTGAAGATGGGCTTATAAGCTTTCTATGGTGATGTTTCTGGCTATTTCTTTCTCACCCCCTCAAGTGTCCATTTTACAATAATAGGCAAGGGAAAACATGATCCACAAGACAGTCAAGCATCTTAACATTATTTCCCCTCTGTTACCCATTCAAACCATGACTCAATCCCTGTATCACAGAGTCCTGTTGTTACAAGGGTGAGCATTACATCACTATTTACCTCTGTCCCAGTTAGCCCTGCAAACCTGCCTAAATGTTCTCCCATCCACCTTTTTCTTCCATTCCCTCCCCCTTCTTGTGTATTGCCCCACAAGACCCAAAATACCATGTGTCTATTCTCTACCCTGTGCTCCACCTTCCCCTCCCTCCCCTCACCCCACCCCCTATACCCTTGTAACCAACAAAAATTTGTTTCTTTCTTTTTTTTCTCCCTTTTAGTGTGGGTATTTTTCTTAAGCTTTTACAATAATGGTCCTATGCAGTATTTCTCCTTTGTGACTGACTGATTTCACCAGCATAGTGTCCTCAAGGTTCATCCATGTTATGTGGTGGCTTGCAGCTTCCTTGTTATTCTTCAAGGTAGCATAATATTCCACTGTGTATATGCACCAGTTTGTTTATCCATTCTTCCATTGATGGGCACTTACGCTGTCTCCATCTTTTTGCTATTGTAAATAGTGCTGCTATGAACATTGGTGTGCATATATCTACTCGTGTTATGGCTCGTATTTCTTGTGGATAAATACCAAGTAGAGGGATTGCTAGATCATAAGGTATTTCTATTTCCAGCTTTCTGAGGAAGCGTCATATTGTTTTCCAGAGTGGTTGGACCATTTTGCAATCCCACCAGCAATGTAGGAGGGTCCCAGTCTCTCCACATCCTCGCCAGCATTTTTTGTCCTCTGCTTTTTGGAACTTCGCTGTTCTGGCTGGTGTGAGATGATATCTCATTGTTGTTTTGATTTGCATCTCTCTAATGGCTAGTGATCATGAACAGTTCTTCATACGTTTGTTGGCTGCTTAAATCTCTTCCTTGGTGAAGTATCTGTTCATGTCCTGTGCCCATTTTTAAATTGGGTTATTTGTCTTTTTCTTGTAGAGGTGGTGTAGTTTCCCATGTATTTTAGAAATTAGTTCCTTGTCTGATGTATCATTGTAAAAGATTTTTTCCCATTTTGTGGGCTCCCTTTTTACTCTTTGGGTGAAGTCTTTTGATACACATAAGTTTTTAGTTTTTAGTATGTCCCAATCATCTATTTTGTCTTCTTTTGTTTTTGCAATTTTCAAAATGTTTGGTAGTCTGTGTGTGCTCTGCATTAGAGCCCTCACATTTGTCCCTGTTTTTTCATTGATGGCTTTTATAATTCTGGGACTCACATTTAGGTCTTTAATCCATGCTGAGTTGATTTTTGTTTATGGTGTGAGGTAAAGGTCTTGTTTCAATCTTTTGCATATCACTTTCCACTTCTGCCAGCACCATCTGTTGAAGAAACTATCTCCTTCCCCATGCAATATACTTAGGCCCTTTGTCGAAAATCAGCTGGCTGTATGTGGATGGGTTAATTTCTAGATTCTCGATTCTGTGTCATTGATCTATTTATCTTTCATTGTACTAGTACCAAGCTGTTTTGACCACTGTTGTTGTTGTTAAGTACTGTGGAGTCGGTTCCGACTCATAGTGACCCTGCACAGGGTTTCCGAGGCTGTAAATCTTATACGGAGCAGAAAGCCTCATCTTTCTCTCGTGGAACAGCTGGTAGTTTCGAACTGCCGACCTTGAGGTTAGCAGCCTAATTCGTAACCACTACACTACCAGAGCTCCTTGTAGCCATGTAATAAATTTTGAAATCAGGGAATGAGAGGTTTCCAACTTTATTCTTCTTTTTAAGCAGTGCTTTGCTTATCCTGGGTGTCTTTCCTTTCCATATAAAGTTTGTAATTGCTTTTTTCCATCTCTTTGAAGAGTGCCATTGGAATCTGGATTCAGATTGCATTATATGTATAGATTGCTTTGGACAGTATTGACATTTTTATAATGTTAAGACTTCCTATCCAGGAGCATGGTATATTCTTCTGGGTCCACTCACTTTAAAAGTGTGAATTTATGCTCTATTTCTTAGACAAAAAATACAATAAAGGGCAACATAGTGTAACCACAAATTGTATGCAGAATCTATGTTTTGTAGTTGAAACTTTTTTGGCTTTAAGAACGTTCTGCTACCTTTTATACAATGTGAACATAAGGGATCATTTTACTAAATAGGGCTTGAATGTAATACAGAAAGTGTATTAAATAATGTGAATGAGAAGCATATAAACTCCTTTTAGGAAAAAAAACCCTCCAAAACGTTAAATGTGAGTTCCTCAAGTATGGATGATGGCTATTATATAGAATTTGCCCAGAGCACTGAAGATTTAAGAAAAGGTTTCAAAAGAAATACATTTTTAGGTACTTTACCTGTAATCATTATTCTTTAAACTTTTGTCCCCTCCCCCAAAAATGAGAAATCTGCTAGTGCTAATCAACCTAATAGTGTATTTCTTTTTTTTCACATTACAGATCCTTTTGATCTTTCTTTATTTCAAATACTTTTGAAGCATTATTCAAATAATTATGTTGTTGTTGTTAAGTGCTGTCGAGTCAATTCTGACCCATAGCAATCCTGTATAGAGTTTACGAGGAGCAGCTGGTGAGCTTGAACCACCAACCTTGCAGTTCAAATTGCTTTGCAGTCTGGCGCATTAACCCACTGTGCCACACTAAGACTCCCCAAAAATTATAGAAGTCATAAAACAGTATACTATTGATGATTTTTAAAACTACATCAATTGTTACAAAAGATTCAGCAAAAAACTTACTTCTTTTATCTTAAAGATGCACTTAACTAAGCACTTAAATTTTTTTAAGCTTTTATTGTGAATTGAGTGATAGTTTACATGGGAGAACATTGGTTTTACACTCATGGTTTCATTGCAATGATTACAG